CCGCAGATACAGGGTTTCCTCCAGCCTGGAAAAATGATGAGGGGAGGGTTATCTCTTACCTTGCCAGTGCGTTAGGTCCTTCATGCCATCTATTTTTCTGGGCAAAGGACCCACGAAGGAGAACAGAAAACTTGAATCTTGAATCTGATTCTGGCACATGAATCTGTGCATGTGAGGGGAGGAGGGCTTGAAACCACCACGTTACGTGGATAATTCTGTGCTATTACACACTCATAATTTCTTATCCTTTTGCCTTGCATGACACAAACATTCATTTTTGTGTTATTATGTATGCCCCTAATGTGATATAAAAAGCTAAGCATATTACCAATTGCAGTACAGCACACTATTATTTTTTTTCTTGTCTCTGCAGTGAGCATTTTTTGGGTAACATTAATAGGTCTCGGGGTATTTTTTTTCTCCTGCACTCTACTCCAAATGATCCTCATCCTGGGAGGATTTTCCATGGCAGGCCGAAGCAATTGGATGCTCTTTACAAGAGCTACTTCTCAGTGTTACTGATAATGGAAAGAATCTACATACTGAAGGAAAATCCTTGAGATAATCCAGTTGAGATGTTGATTTGAGTTTCAGCACTTGGGAATCAATGGGATTTAAAAGACAGCACTCACTGCAAGAGTGCCTAACCCTGGATATCTCCATCCCTTCATTGGTGAGGAACAAACAGGTTTCAGCTTCAATTTTAGAGGCTTCAGAAAGGACCAAAATAAGAGGGAATGTCCAATGTCATGAGACAAAAAGGACTTATTTTCAGAGATAAATGGGGCTGAAGCAGTCCCCAAATACTACCAATTCCTGCTCTTTGGTCTTGGTGAGGCTGCTTTGACATAGTAGTTCCATCCTCATCCCTATCCTTGGGGGCTGAATTGTTTTCCAGCTGCTCCCTGCAAATCTGTATGGCACTGTGGCCCCGGAAGGAGCTACCAGAGGCACTCTGTTTGGGGCAAAAGGCAAAAAGAACGGCCAACTGTGCCCTAGGGAGGAGTCGGATGTGTTCATGTTTCAGTAGGTGGCACTCGGGGGGGGGGCGTGGCATGGATGAGACGTGGTGACTCTCCAGGGTGAACTGCAACTTGAGTTGGTTATAGCATGCTTTTTGCAAGAGTTCAGCTCATGTACGTGCTGCTTTCCTCTAGATCTTCCTGTATTTTTAGTCTCTCCTTCACATTGTAAAGGTGTTGCTGTGAATATGCGCGTGGGGAACGCATTCAGCTTTGCAACCGGCTGTGTGCCATCGGCAGGTAGAGTCCCGTGGGTCACACACCTTCCCAAATCTGCACAAAGCCCCGACCAGCAGAGCGCATCACAAAATCCAAGCGGTTCAACTTTCTACCACAGGCTGATCTGCTCCTGTAGATACTCTGGGAAAAGGGTAAGGATTGGCATTGGAGTGGATTAGGCAGGGAAAAAAAAATGCTTCCAGGAGGAGGAAAATGTTTATGTATGTACTCAGTGATGCCTCTCCAGCTTCTTCACCCGCGCTGTTCTGGCTGGATACAGCAAGGTGACATTTGCCTGTCAGCGATCCTGCTTGCTACCTGAGCTTTGATTGGCGATCCCGGGGACATGTTTGCAGAATAGAGAGCTTTCAAATATGTTTTTAGTTTGGAAAATGGCAGCTGAGTGGGTGCATTTGGTGACAGATGATCCTTGAAAGGTTTAGAAGCAAAAGCTATTAAAACCTAGGAGCTGTGCAAAGAGGAAATATTGTGTATATATCACAGCCTGTTCGAAGAGAAGAAACACCCCTGTTTTGTGTGATTCCCATCAGCGAACTGCGGCACACAGTGTTTTGGGGCAGAGAGGACGCTGTCTGCAGATGCTCTTTTTTTTGGCTTCCTGCTTACTCAACATCCAGGCACAGTATCTCAGTGGCCGGAACAGAAAAGGGCTTTGGGATGACTGTAGCCAAAGGCTCTCTTAACAAACCGCAAGCAGCTTTGCCCCGTCCTCCTGAAACCCAAG